GGACGTGTTATGACTGACCAGCATTCCTCGATTTTAATTGAAAAAGCATCTATAATTGTTAGTTATGCTTTGAAATATAACGGCGTTGATTAAGATTACGTTTACTATTCATTTTTCAATTTTGATTAACAAAATTGCTTCACATTCGTCAAATTATTAGTATTATTATTATTATTATAGGCCAATTACTGTGCCTGTCATAATCACCATCGTAAATGAGAAAAACAAACAGTTTAAATTTGAGATTTCAGGTTCTCTGGGAGGCGAGTATAAACGTAACTGACTTCTGGGGGTGCTGCATCGCGTCTTCTGGTAGAACTTCACCTACGTTTAAGAGTGTTTAGCGCCTCCATCATCAGGGCGATTCGCATAGACAACACGATTCAACACTCCAAAAGGCAGTCATCTTGGAACATGTTGAATGTTATTAGGCCTATTTTCAGAATTAAGCTTATTGTGCCATCTATATTGCTAATTTGTATAGAACGAATTCTGCATGCAGGTGGCTATTAGACGTGTGTAGAAGACAGTGTGTTAAACAGCAACTACAAAACTATATAAAAACCATAGCAGACGTAAAGAATGCCGTGCCTTGTGACAGGCGAGCACATGACGTGCGAACAGGGCTACTAGCTGCTTCAATCTCCTTCTCAGCCGGACTCAGGGCCATTGGGACACACTGTTAACCGCTCCTGTAGCATGTGTTAGTCATAAACTATTACTACTATTGAAGAATGCCCTATAAACATCTACTTGCAGTAATTTAGAAATATAATAGTCTCTTTTCTATTCAGAGCGGATGGCGAAGTAATTTTACTTTCACATAGCCTTCCGGTATCATATGTTACAAATTTATTATTAATACATAACAATAACTTGAAGCGAAACTTCAGAAGTAAGTTAATTAGCTTTAATAATAGCTTTAAAGTCTATCGTTATTACAACTACATTTAATGGAATAGGAGATGCCTTAATTACACAAACACAGGATTACAAATAGTCTATCACAATTATTTTAATTCTTACAAAATTCTAATAGATTCTATAACATAAAACGATTGGCTAAATATCTATATCAATGTAAGAAGAGGGTAAATATTTTATCTAACAGATTTTAATAGGTAAGATTTGAGGTTTTCACAGCGGTGAGAGTGAAGATTTGTCTTCTGGGTTGTTGCGCTGTGTAGTCTGGTCGATGTCAACCGACGTTTCAGAGGTCATACTGCCTCCGTCATCAGGGCGATTCTTAGTATGAAGATTTCTGTCTTCTGGGTTGTTGCGCTGTGTAGTCTGGTCGATGTCAACCGACGTTTCAGAGGTCATACTGCCTCCGTCATCAGGGCGATTCTTAGTATGAAGATTTCTGTCTTCTGGGTTGTTGCGCTGTGTAGTCTGGTCGATGTCAACCGACGTTTCAGAGGTCATACTGCCTCCGTCATCAGGGCGATTCATCACCCTGATGACAACAACCCAGAAGACAGAAATCTTCAAATTTTAATAGATTTAGGCTTATAAAACAAGGATGTGATGAAGAGACAAATAATAATGACGAAGACCCATGTAATAAAATAGATTCTCCTCATTTACTTTCTAAACATTACACGGAAAGAAATACTAGATAAGCCTATGACCTAGGCAAACGCTATCCTTCTTCTTCCACTATTCATTGGGTTTCACAGCGTCTTAAGTTCCAATTATACACTTAACCTACTTCTACCGGGAAAGATTGATAGACAGAGTTAGGTTAGGCTAAAATTTTAAATGTTATGGCATTCATAGTCGTATAATTTAATCGTATAGTTAAAATAAACAAAACATTAAGTAGGCGAAGAATTATTTTTCGATTACCACAATCCAAGTCACCTTAAAGCAAATTAGCTTTATAGCAGAAGGCCTATAAAACTGTGTAACAGGTTCTAACAAGCACAAAAACCTTTTACCCTATAAAATGCATTTGCGTTTCACTAATTGTGAAAAATCAGTACTCGTATCCCGTCGGTATCAGCGCTTCTGTGACTTAATTTATGTCAGATATTCTGATAGTCAAAGTGAGAAAACACTTCGCTGCTTAGCGAGAACCACACGCCAGATCAGCTGTGTAATTAAACACAACAGCCATAAGGAAGCCTTGGTTTCTCAATAATGTTTTAATGATAAAATTCCTCGTACATGTTATGCCAGATATTTCATGCGGTAGGGTGGATCAAACTGCAATATCTCCTTCCACTTTCTCCACAAGGAAATTAAGTGGTACTGTGTTTCCATTAACACCTAGCTCTTCCTATGCCACTTTATCTTCTCATGCCATAGCCTATGTGTTGTATTTCCAACGTCTTGCAAAATAAATAAGAATTTTTATGTTATAAACCTTGCCTTTAATGCCAATCTCATCATTTGTTGATTTTATAATCCGTATCCTAATATTGCCCCGCCACGGTGGTCTAGCGGTTAGAACGCTGGCCTTGTAATCCTGGGGTCTCGGGTTCGATTCCCGGCGGTGCCCGAATTTATAACTTGTGTTGGGCAAGGCCGTGGTCTAGGCAACACGGAGTTTTCCTCCGGGGGCTTCCCCGGTTTCTCCGTGGCATCCCAACAATTACTACATTCACACACAGAAGAAGGCAATGGCAAACCACTTCTGGATCATCTGCCAAGAACGTATATGAACAGGTCCCAGTCCGAGAAAAGGATGGAAGGATCCTGTTCATATGGACCTGTCGTCAGACAGAACACTAAATAATAATAATAATAATCCTAATGTTACTCCCATAGCGATTTAAAAGCCAAAAGGAAACATCATGTTTAATTTTGATCTGGTCGTTTAAATAACGAGAAGTGCCTACGAGTTAAATCTGGCCGACATGTTGGCCAATTTTAGCATATCGTATTGGCAGAAAATAATCATTTCCACTCGTATTTTCGGCGGCTGTCATTTCTTGTCAGATTCCATCACAGGGCAGCTTAATGACGGC